GTGTGATGTGCGCGCGCGCGCTAGTGTGGGTGTTGTCCTTAATATTTTTTTTTTAAATAACTATTAAATTGTGCCGTGGGGGACGTATCAGTGGTTCATTACTTGTAATTTGCTCAGATGTAACTGTATGGGATTTAAAGCTGATTCTTTTTTGAATTTGATGATGTGACCAGATTACATGGAGTTATTCCTTTGTAACTAGTTCACTATAAAAACTTTGGGGTCAGTCATGGACCATTATGTACCTTTGTAATCTTTTTGACTCCCGCCCACGGGATGGGTATGGATGATAAAGATTTTAAAACTAAAGTGTGTGTGTGTGTGTGTGTGTGTGTGTGTGTGTGTGTGTGTGTGTGTGTGTGGTGTGTGTGTGTGTGGGTGTGGTGTGTGTGTGACTCAAAAAATCATATTTGCAAAATAATCATTACGTTGTGACCGGGTGTGCAAGTGTGAATTGCTTGTTACTTTAATTTGTTCATATTGTCCATGTATAACGTAAGAACCATTTTACAGAATTCTTACCTTTTAATTTTGTGAGCTCATTCCCTTGTACCTATTTCAGCTATCAAACTTTGGGGGGGGCCCGTCCCGGGGCCCCATTCGTACCTCTGTAATTTGAAAATACCTTTGTAATTGTCGGGATTGTGCCAGACTTCCCTGGATTCATTACCTTTGTAAATTGTGATTTCTTTCCCTTTGAAAAATTGTGGTTCATTACCTTTGTTTAAATTGTGAGTTCATTCCCTCTGAAAAACTTGCTCAGCTATCAAACTTTGGGCCCAGCCCCTGGCCCAATTTTTGTCCCTTTAATCTTTTGCTCCGCCCCAGGATGGGTAGGGGGTGCATAATAAACATATTTTAAACTAACAAAAACGTGAAGGTTCTCTTACATTTTCTGGTCAGCAATTTCACCTCCCTTGAAAGGTGTGTTAGTGTGCAGAAATTTCCAGTTTAGATGCAAGCGATAAGAGTGTCTTCATGGGTTTGGGCATCCCTTTTTCGGTTCTCATTATCCTCCTGTAATTTTTTTTGCAGATGCGATTTTATTCAATGTTAGGGTCCTTAAAGGTGAGATCCTCCCACATGATCACTCTATTTGTGGAAGGAATTTATTTGTTTTTCTGATGAAGTTTTAATTTCCTTGTTTACCATATCGAGTAATTGAAATTTCTCATAGTTGAACTTCATATTGTTTTCTGCAGCCCCCCGAAAGATTTGGTTGATGTCCGCCTGGAGCCGTGCAGTGTCTGAATGGAAACCTGTCATGCAGTTTTGGGGGTCTCTGCAAAAGAAGCACGGTTTCTGTGGCTGACATCCCCTTTTCTATTCAGTTGAGGAGAGAAAAAAAGAGGGAGCGCGTACTTGCCTTGTGGAAAAGAGTTTTTATCGTAGCCGCCTGACTTTTTTGTTGTACTCTCTTTGTGTTTGTTTGTGAGGAAAAATTTTAGATCCATCTTCCCAAATTTTCCTGTTTTTTCCCTTTTTCACGC